CCCCCCATTTAACATACTAATGTACAGTGTCATTTTTGTGCCAGAAGTTGTCTAGCAAAAATGAGTGAATGACTTCCGAAAATTATAAAATCTGCAACAGATAAAAATCCCAAAATTTTACAATTAGTCTTTGAGTTTTGATTTTTAAAATCCCTGCTGGTGCCCTTATTACATCAAATACCGAATAAATATGACAGGGCACAAGGTCCATGTTGTATACATCAGCTCTTCTTGCAGAGTCCTAAATTTGCACACAGGCTTTATTTTATATCGGTTTTCTGACTAAGAGTTCCCATTTCATCCCTTTAACTACTTAGAACTAATTCTGGTATATACGTTTCTTTTTATTCCAGGAGACAGTTGAGACAGTATAGTTCGCAATATGTGCAAAACTAATCCTTTTAGTAGTACTAAAGGGAGATAAGAAAATCTCAATTTGAATTTACTCTTACAATTATTACAAGGTAGAATGGATTTGTTGATGCATTGCATATATGTGTGTCAAGTTGATGCACAGAATGCAAGGATCATGTATCAAATTGAATCTTCCTGCTTTCAACCTGCAATGCTACATATTAGTTATTTCTGCTCTATAGATACTCACAACACAGGAAATACAAGCAGAGGTGAAGAGTATAGTAGTCGATTCTTCCAGTCCGGTGGGAAGTACACGAAGTATAGCACTAAGGCAGCCATTACATACAAAACAATAGAGTACAAAATAAGGCATCCAATAAATTTCTTCTGTTGCTGTTGGTTATGTAGTCGAAACTTCTGTAGGCTGGTGATATCCTAAAACATATAGCATATTTAAATAAATACAAGTACTAGAAATGTAAGATAAAGGCTAACTTATACCCCAGCTCCTATATAAACCAGAAGTGTAAGCTAAATAAAGGCTTACTAAGGCAAAGCATTGCAAAGAAATATAGTCTCCCACCAGTAATGATTTCTTTATTGGCTGAGCTGTACACTTTTTAAGTATTATAGGTCACTCACATTCTTCATGTACTCCCTCTCAATGCCAAAACATACTTGCAAACCAAATCTTGTTAGCCTAGATGAACGAGTTTTGCTGAAATCATCCTATTAGTTAAGGGAGAGATGTCAGGACAAAAGTTTTAAACTAATGTCCATAACTCCTTAAAAAAGTGTAAAAATGAAAAAAATACGATCCCAATGCACGACATCATGGGGTAATTACCATATCTGTAACCTTTCATTGAAATTGGCCCATAAGTTTAGGAGACAGACAAAGGTTTTTTCAACAAAGGGCCATAACTCCTTTTAAAAGGACCGGATTGAAAAAGTACAACTTGGATGCACAACGTCAAGGGGCAGTTGCCATATCCATAAACTTTCTTTGAAATTGACCCAGAAGTTAAGGAGAAGTTGTCAGGACAAGGATTTTTCAACAAAGGACCAAAACTCCATAGAAAAAGGGTTTGAAAAGTGGATGCATAATTTAGGTGGTAGTTATCGTATCTGAAAAGTTTCATTGAAATTGGCAGCATATATAGTGTTGGAGGAGTTGTTTGGAGAACTGTTTTTCAACAAAGGTCCATTACTCCGTAAAAACTGTTCAGATTGAAAAAATAATACATGGATGACTATCAGGAGGTAGTTTTCATATCTGAAAACTTTCATTTAAATTGTTCCAGTAGTTTTGGAGAAGTTGTGCAGGCAAGCATTTTTCAACAAAGGGCAATAACTCTTTAAAAGGGCCAGAACCAAAAGAATAAAACCTGGATGCACAATTTCAGGTGACAGTCATCATATCTGAAAACTTTCGTTAAAAGTGGCGCCATTGTTTAGGAGTAGTTGTCCGGAGAAGAGTTTGTCTACAAATTTCTAAACTTCTTAAAAAAGGGTCAGAATGAAAAAAATCCTATCTGGATGCACACCTTAAGGTGGTAGTTATCCTATCTGGAAAGTTTCGTAGAAATTGGTCCATTACTTTCGTAGGAGATATTCGGACAAACTTTATCTACGGACGGACGGACTAACAAGCTCTTCATGTCAAATAATCACATACATTCATACATATGTACACACAAGTTGATGAGTTTGGTTATCAAGAAATAGAAAAACAATGATTCCCCAGAAAGTGTAGCATAAATTGCTTCATTATTAATTCAGAGGTGAATTAAAACAAAATAGAAAAGAAGTATTTTAACTTTTTGACAGATGTTATATTTACCTTTTCAATCTTTTCCAAGACATCAATTGTGGATGGTTTAGTCTACAAAATAAAACAAAGTGTATTTTAGTACTGCAACAAGAGGACAAGCTCATCTAGTTTTTTTTTAGTTTTTACCCAAAACATGTCCTATACCGTACATTTACATAAACAGTGTAATAAATATAAGCGGAAAACAGGTGAAATTTGGTTCCTTTATTGCATCATGCTCCTCTTCCCATATTATGTCCATACCTTCTTTATATACAATCGTGATGTCTAGGGTACAAAAGCATCTGTTTGTACACATGTAATCTAGTACACACGTACAAATCATTGATGACATCATTACAGGCTATCTTATCTAATTGAAACTTGATGTTTTGAAAAAAGTTCACATTATTATTATTTTCTAGGTTCAAAAACAAGGTCACAGTTACTCTAGATACAATTTGACATCATCACATGACCGACTTTATTCCTTTTTGGCCCTTTTTGGCCCTTATTGGCCCTTATGGAGGGTGGAGTTTGAAACACCCTTTGTTGGTACAATATCAATGTTGAGTTCTTTCCATGATGCTTCAGATCAAATCAGGTTAAATTCCGTGTCTCTGTGTTCAAGAACAAGTCATACTTAACTATCTACTTTTATTACCCCTATTAGGACCCACCCCTAAGGAGGGACACACACCGACTTTATTTCATACAAGAGATATCATCATCATCATAATCATCGTCATCATACAGGTAAGTTTTAAAGCACAAAAAATGGACACAGTCATAGATTTATCCAATTAACAGGTGAGTTTTGTTTTATCTTTCAAAGCATTTACATCACATTGTGACTTGTTTTGCTTATTTTCTCATAACAGCCCTTGTTGCATTTGGAATCAAATTGTTTGTCTCCATTGGCGGCACTAAATTGGTAATCATATCTATACTTACTGAACAGTATATTGATTATGTGTGTTTGTGTGTGTTCTAATGTCTATGTCTATGCTTGTACCACTGTCTGTTACTATGTTTGGAAAGGGCTTAAATAGACTATGCCTGCTGCCCAATCCATTTGTCCTTTAACAATAAAATTTATTGAAATCAAAACAGTATATTGATTCTAGGCAAAGCATTGTTGTCATTCAAAAAGCTGATACCCTTCTGTAATTTTTGATCATAGAAGTATCACAGTATATATCGTGTGCTTCATAGAATGCCACTATTAAATGGTGACAATAGAATTGTCTTAGGTTGTTGTAGAGTGACGTAGGTGAGAATTGCAAACTGACCGTTGTGGTAAAATTGACTAAATATTGTTGATAAACTAGAAATTCCACATGCTACCCTCTCTTACACTCTCCACTCCCTTGGAATATGTCATGACAACATGGAAGGCAGGCGGTTATCTATTCGATTGGTTTCAGGTAAAAAAGAATAGGGACTATTAGCTTAGGCTGATCGATACTTATTTTTTGAAGATTGCAAGAGACGCCACACTCCCAACTTGAAAGCCAGCTAATTTTACTGTCATGCTGCTGTAGATTTCTTCTAATGTACATCAAAGGATTCAACCAGTTTACCTATACTGTATCTGCACAGAGCTTCAATTTAGTCGTGAAACATACATTACAGGGGTATCGAGAATAAAAGTGAACATGAACCCTGACATTTTGAGGATGCAAGACAATATGAAGAACACTGCGGTTTAATTTTGATTTTGTTTGTTCATATTGGGAAATATTTAACTTATTTGTGGCAGCTATTTTAGATTGTACATATGATCGTGGTGGCCTGCTAAGGGAATTTCCCTTTAGGTGAATTGGTAAAGCAGTGGACTTGGTAGATGGAGGACGCTGGTTCCAATCCTGACAGAATTGCACTACTCTCTTTCCAGTTACAAATAATGTTTGTGACCCTTTCTGTGTGGCAGGTTTTTATTGAGCACACTGTTGTGGTCTTCTTCTATCTTCATGTTAGAGGGAATTTCTCTTTAGCTTAACTGTTAGAGCAATGAACTGGAAAGCCGGAGGTTGCTGGTTCTGATCCTGGTTGAAGCCCACTTTGTTCTGATCCTTGAAGCCCACTTTGTTTTTTCTCCCATTACAAATGGTATCTTTAACCCTCCCTTTAGTGAAAGGGAGTTCGAACCTTGGCTATAGTGGTCTTAAAGGGCAAAACATTAAAAAGGGTGGGGTGGGGAATAGTGTGGCAGGTTTTTACATATGATCTACCTTCACACAAGAGAGAATTTCCGTTTAGCTCAATAGAATTTGGGGTCAGGAAGCTGCTGGTTTGATACTAGTACTAATATCAATACCCGATCCGCTCTGCACAGTCGGAAGCAATGTTATCGCAGCTTGTAAGTATGCATGCATGTTCGTATATATTTTATTTGTTACAATTAACAAGCCCCTGTGATATAGCTTGATAAGCATTTTCATTCAGATTTTTAAGCAAATACTGTATAGAATCATAGTATATAACGACACACAAAACTAAAGAGTGGCATGGGCCTACAACGACGGGTGACAATTTTGTAGATTCTATTTTCACTTCTTGACGCCGATGACCGAGTAAAGTACAAGACGGAAATCAAACATGTTTTCAGTTATCTGTCCTTCAAAAACACAACTTACACGAAACTTGGCGATAAGAATACCCATGTTGATTCCGTGAACCTTTCACTTCTTAATATTGATACTTAATCTTCCCACAAATGTGTTAAATTTAATAATTTTCAATTTAAAACCCGCCAACTGTTACTTTCATCTTCCATGTTTGTCCTGTGCTGCCATCTGTCGTCCGAAAGGAAATGGGGCCTCACAGGGGTAATCATTCACAGGGTTCTGATAGGGGAACCGGACATAATTATAACGTTATTATGAAAAAATAATAGGAAACTAGTTATTTTGTACTTCGTCACGTTCATTCTGTGGAAGATGTACCGAAAAACCATTCACCAAATAATACATGTGATACATACTTGTCTGAACGATTGATTGATGGGGCTTTACGTCCTTGTTCCGGTTATGACCGTCACCGAGCCTACGACAAAAAATGGAGGGTTAGGGGATTGATATCAGGTAGTGCCAAACACTTCTAATATGAAGAATAGGAGTATTTTCGTCCTATTTTCTATAATTAAGGGATTACCTAAATGTATGCCCTACACTAATCGAAATATATAACCTATATAATAATTAATCTAGCTGTGGCGGCTAATAATTAGCATTCTCTTTTCCGAAAACCAGCAGAGTGATCTTTAACGTGCAAGGTGTGACTTAATTATTTTACACTGGACCCCCATTGAACGTCCGTACTTGCCAACCTGAGGGTGGGGTGGGGGGTGGGGGGTGGGGGGTTGGAAGTGATGTTGTTACTGGAGAGTTCAAGGATGCGATATAGAAACTGCCGGATCTATGTTAGTTTGAAAATTTAAGTTATATGATTTATGAGTTTTGATATGCAAACACTGTCTTTCATGAGGTTGTGGCTACTGTGTATGATCACCTTCTAACCTTTCTTACTTGTTACATTTATGCATAATGAATCATTAGTGAATAAGTACAGAAATACGTGCAAAAAAAAAATGTGACAAATAACAAAAGTAGAATTAATTCATTGACAGAAAATGTGCTGCATATAAAGTTATTCGAGGAAAAGAAAAGTAACATAAATAAAATATCAAAAATATGCTACATTACAAAACACTTTAGCTTTTTAACAACGTAGAAGTAGTATGATATGTTCAGGATTGCAGCGAACATTATTGAAATGTTAAATATGACACTTTGATAATAAACGAGAAACAGTCCAATCTAGACGATATCAGGTCTTTTACGTTAGTAAACAACTCTTGCAGTTCTAAAGGAACCGCCCATAGCAAAGTAGCAATAAAACAATCACGTTCTAAAGGGTCAACATATACATATACAGCAACTGGATAGTGATTCACACTTTTTGTATGGAAAACATCCCGTAGATCTACAATATTGGGGTGGCGACAATCAATGCAAAAATGTGTTAAAGCCTCTGCAGCATAACCATTACATTTTAAACATAATAGTTTACAATCCGGACTAATTGTCCATAACTTTGCAATTTTCTGACAAAGTAAGCCATATCGAACATTTAAAAACCGCCAGAAAAAAGTAAAGTGGCGACGGTGCTAGAGAAGTCTGAAGAATTTTGAAACGACTGAAATCATTGATGGCATTCAAGCGAGTTTTCCAACCGTCCTCCTCCTTATTCAAAACAGATTTTTTTTTAACAATTTGTTTCCACTGAACCTTCTTCGGGAATGTACCCAATTTAATAAATTCATACAAATAATTTTGTAGACTATACTTATGTAAAATAGACCATACATTTGGAATTACACCATCGGTACTCTTGTAAATATAATAATACTTGTGTAGTAAACGCAATAAGAATGGCTGCTTAATGGCACAATATGGCATAAGATTGCACAACGATCCTAAACAACTGAGTTTACATTAATCTACTCTTGCGGAAAGGGATGTTAAACCCAACATTCCTAAACAGATATCAGATCTAGTACGTAAAGGAAAACATTGAACCAATTTTACACATAGATTTTGGATCTTTTCTAAACGACTCCAATCCGCACTGGAGAGAAGAAACCACAGTTCGCAACTTGCGAAAACCACGGATATATATAATATTTACTTTACCTATATTTCATTGCCATAAAATCATTGCAATGGAATCGGGCAAGGGTTGACAAAAAAGATCGTGGCCCACAATACGATTTCAACTTCAACAGGATACTCTAAAACGTTCAATATATTTCACATTATTTAGAGGCGTCAGAGAGATAGGTTAAAAACAAGTATTTTAATTTTAATTTTTTAGAACTTTATGATAAAAACAACATGTACGCTTAGAATTTGTGAGAGAGGAGATTTGCCTTCAGTGTTGAGAGGTCTGCACTGTCAGCGGTGAAGGTTGGGAGGCTGTTCCAGATACGAATTACTCTGGGAAAGAATGAATTTGCATGATAATTTGTGGAGCTGTGTGGAATCTGGAATTTGTGTTGTCGGGTTCGCTGGAGAATTTGGAGGTTGCCATCATATGCCACAAGGTCGTTTATGATTTTATTTAAGGATTAACTTGAATATATTTTTCATGTTATGGAGCTATAACACAAAAAACCGGAGTGTACTCTAAATAAATCGCGAAGCGGTTTATGATGAGAGTACACTCCTTTTTTGTGTGTGTTATAGCTCCATAACATAAAAAAATATATTCAAGTTAATCCTTATAATTTAATCTACTATACCCAATCCCTGTGGAAATCCACTTTTATTGATGGACTCTTTTCTTTTAGAAATTATTGCGCTGCTGTATCAGCCAATCAAAAGCGCATTAAAAACGTCGACGTCATTTTTTTACGTTATGGGCTGATAACATAATTTTTTAAGCCAATGAAAATGCTTGTTACAAGCAAGATTAAATTATATTGTAATATGGGTGATTGGAATTGTTCGTTTATGAAATAAAGTCGGACCAATTAAGTAATCTCATTCTGATGCTGTTTTCAGGCGAGCCTTGACAAAGCCTTGCAAGGACTGCATAATTAAAACATTGGCAGGAGGTCCGCCAGAATTTATATCAGAAAAGAAAAAGCAGACAAACCGGCTGAATCGGATACGCGAAAGGGTCATATACAATTACGAGAAAAACGATGAGTAATTGAAGAAAAGGAAAGTCAACGAAAGGGGGAAATATTTATTGGAGAAAAGTATTTGATTCCATCACAAGCAGTTGAACAGCGTAACTGTTAACGTTTTGTACTCATCCGAGACTAGAGCTTCATATTCTGAAGTCTAAACTTTAAGCAGGGAATTAAAATCAAGTCGTGTGAGTAATTAGTGAAGTCTAGCTGTCTCTGGTTACTGTAAATCTTTCCTTTGTGCTCAAGGAGGCTGTACCCAAATCGGATCAGTACCCAAATCACTTTTTCCAAAAATACTTATAAATAAATAAATGTGTTAACAAATCAGTTGTTCATGACAATGACGTAGTCTTAGAATAGATAGCCATGCACCATTTTTTGTCTACAGATGATTATAGTTCTAAGTTCAAATAGCAAAAGAAAACATAATTCAAACTCAAATGTCAATGTTTTGATCACGTTTTTAATAAATGGCGCGTGCGACGAATACATGCAGTGGCGGATCCAGAGGTTTTTTTAGGGGCTTCAGGACCCCCCCCCCCCCGCCCCCGACCAAGAGAATTGTCTTTAAAAATCATGTATTTTCACCATTTTCCTCAATTTTTCCTCACATGGAAACCCCCATGGAAATTTGGAATAAAGTCACACTATAGAAATACTTTTTTTGTCATATAAATTCTAAAGGTCATCATAAAACGTTAACATGCAAACAAAAAATATTCATTTGAAGCGTAAGATACTGCAAAATTCAAGCCTTGATCCGATTTGGGTCCTGACATTCGCAAAACTCGAGGCGCTGATTGGTGACTTCAGAGCGTTTTATAAACATCTCAAGTGAGCCCCAGGTGCTATAATTTCGTTTGCAAGAACACCCATCGATATTCTTAATTCCTTTGATACATAAATGCATAAATATAATTCCCCCTCAAAATTTTCAATGATTTAATACATAAATGCATGAATATAATTCCTCCTCAGATTTTTCAATGATTTAATAAAATGATGGTTTGGTGATCCGATTTGGGTACAGTCATCTTAGGCCACATTCGAATTTGGTGTTAAACTGTACCTATTGTAACAATAAAAAAAAATCGGCATTTCTCTCGGGTCTGATTTAGTTTTATATACTAAGGGCGTTTTAATGGTGTGTACCTTTGATGTTTTTCCTTCGAATGATTCAGGTTAAATTATGACTACTTGAAGGTAAAGTCAAAAGGGAAGCCGAACGACCAGGACGCACTTGCTGTAATTTGATTGGCTGACAGCCAGGACGTGGCGAACTGATCAAGATGGTGGACACCGGTGTTAAACCTGACATCCGCTCAATAATGTGGAATCCGGGCGGCTGGCAAAGCCTTTTAACCATCGTTATTTTATCTTTGGCATGGCTCGTTGGGTTCAGCTCAAGACTTTTTGCGGTCATTCGTTTTGAAAGCATCATCCACGAATTTGATCCATGGTAAGGTATCTCTGCATTTACCGGCATGAGCGACAAAAATCGTCGTATCACCACGAGTTGTTGAGTGGCATTTCATTTTCATGTCATATTGTAAACCACCCCCATTTATGCATGATATCTCAGGGTTATTTGAGAATAATCAATGGTTTTGACAGCTTAAGAAGCTGCAGTGGTTTCACACTTACCTTGGCGGACCTGTTGCATTAGATGAAGCCAACTTTATACTCGCCTCTTCATCAGCTTCATGATAAATAATGTATATATGAGATTTTAACAACCCATGGTCTCTGTTTTTATCCACATCATTCTTTATTATGTGTGGTGCATTTTTATTACTTAATAAGGTTGCAATGGTCTCTGTTTTATCCACATCATTCTATATTATGTGTGGTGCATCTTTGTTGCAAAATTTGATCTGAACAGATTGTTTTTTTTTATTCAAATAGACATACAATGCAACAGTGTTGTAATCATTGCTGATTACAGAGATCTGGCATGGCTTGAATTGACAGTTAGTATCACATTTTCAAATTGTTCAACAATCTACAGTTTCATGTTTTTCAGTATAACATATGTATCAATATTTATGTTAGCTAGAAATGAATGGTCAATGTTTCCTCAAGATTCAACGATGATGAAGGAAGTTAGCTATAGGTTATAGTTGTGAAATGTAATGTAATTACAGATGCATTACTGAAATAGATCCCAGCGATGTTGCACTAAAGGAAGATATAGTTTCCTTGGGTGTTAGTATAACTCTGTTTATTCTGAACACAGACATAAATAATATGATATCAGATTACCTGCATCTTGTCAAATCATTGTCTGTTCCTTTTTTACAAACTTTTTACTGGAGTGTTGAAACACATTTTTGATATATATGAAATGACAATAGGGAGTACTGAGGCATCTTACCCAAATAGCCAAACCTCTTGGGGCCACCACATGATTTACAGTAGTTCTAGATGTACCTAATTTTAAGTTGCAGTATACACCAACATTGACCAGGAATTTAAATTTGTGACAAAGTTTCCATAATATTTCTAACAGTTTTAGAACACCATATATATCATCAAATATTTATTATGTTTTTTAAGAATAATAGTTAACTTTCTAATCATATTTTTTCAAACTTCAAAGGTAATTTTCCTGAATGAATCAAATAGGATACTGTTAATAGGAAGTAATATAGCTGATGGAATTCCTCTATGACCTTTGATTGGCATGTGCTGCAGGGTGTACACAGTCTGACATTAGAACCGCCACCTTGAGCTGTGCGCACGATGATAGCATTGCCCTAAAGCACGGAAACCAGTTTCAGTAAACTGCATTACATATACGGGTATATATTGCCCAGACCAGAGGGTCATGTCACTGGCCAGTACACATACCCTAGTTTACATATATACATGTACTGTACATGTATTTACATACAAATAAATATATTTTCATTTGTATGTAACGTGCAAGTGATTGAATTGACTAAACGTATGTCTGAGATATTGTACAAGTGTACTTATCAGGGTTTTGGGGAAATTGACCCTGGGATGAAATTGTACATCGACATCAAAAACATTTTTGGAAATATGGATGATCATTCTAATCTTACAAGTTTGCAAGCATGTGTAAACTTAGATTGTTTACTTTTAAGCCTCATATATCTTGATGATAATGAGCATTCTCTCCTTCCTACATATGCCATTTTGGTTAATGCTTCCCTATTTATTTCACTTTCTGTTTATGATCAATCATAGAAATGGTGATGATCATGATCGATCATAGAAATGGTGATAGTTATGATCGATCAATAATTTTGAAGCCATTCTCAACACTAGTCCCACCTAGGCTTGTCTGGCACCATATAGTTTAATTTGTACCCCTCATCAACTCAGCCAGATTTATTATGATTAGCCCACTCACTGTAAATTTCAGATCAGTCATGAGTGAGTGGCAGTCGATATCTACAAGGTTGCCTCCATGTGGGTCAATATCTAAATTGACATATTACCTTAGCCACAATACCTTCCAAGTCACCAGCTACATTTAATAGGCAGGTTAACATAGATTGTAGTATATTATGCACTACTTATCACAACATTGGAAATGTTTATAAACAACCTTTTTAAAGCTTTTGATATTAAAATATGATATAGAAAAAATATGCTTGTCTAGTTTTCTTAGCTTTCATGCCATACTACTGTATTTCATTACTTTGAAAAGTTAAATAACTGGAATTATTTGCAGTTAGTAAGATTGACCTGCATTTTACTGAAAAGTCAGAGTCTCAAAAACCCAATGGAGCCAGTCAGAGCAATATACAATGGCAAATGGTTTAAAATAAAATTAAAATGTGCGTTTTCTTCTTTATTTTATGTGTTTTTTTATAAAAAAAAATGGTTCAACAAATGACTGTCATACCTTGTCTGGCAAGAATATCTAGTTTGCGTTTTCTTCTTATTAAAGATAAGATAAATGAAAGGGCATAAAGAAATGAACGATACATGTATTCGATGCCTAGACTCAGACTTTCTATGTGGGACTCATCAACTTTATGATGAAATGAACCTATATCTCTTAGTAATGGGACTCATCACTATTATGAAAAAAGATGCTCAAGACTTGCCTGAAAAAATAAATATACAAAAAACACTAGGAAAAAATGTCCATTAGTATGATCAGGCTAATCTGGTGGAAGCTGCTGATTTTGATTTGTCTGGTAATATAAGTATCTAGTGTTTAAAAGGTGAAGGTGACATTTAATACTAAAACAGTTTTTATATCATTTTTTTTTTTTTATTAACCTAAGGTTTTTTAAAATCCTATGCTATGATGATGCTTAACAGTTGTTTTTTTTCTATTGTTTTATCATGAAGGTTCAACTATCGTGCCACCCATTACATGGTTGAAAATGGTTTCTACAACTTCCTGAACTGGTTTGATGACCGAGCATGGTATCCACTCGGCAGAATCGTTGGGGGCACGGTAAACACTTACATATGTCATTTCTCCTGTTTCACCAAAATTAAATTCTGATGTCTATGCAGTATCAAAATCCAATGTCGTAGAGATCATATATGTGTCTGAAAGAACTTAAAGTATTGTTTCTCTAGCATCGCTTTTTATTTAGCTAGATTTTAATTTCAGTGTCATATTCTCATTTGGTTATTTCTAAATGAAAACGGTGACCTATTTGTATTATTTCATTATTGTATCAGTTTTACTAAAAATTAAAACAACACCGTCCCACTCTGTGTTATCATGCACCTTCATCAAGTTTAGATATACATGGATATGGATGTGACTGGTCAAAGGTTTCGCTCCCTGTTATTCAAAATAGGATTCCACCATAACCCAAAAGACTGTTCCAGATTTTGATGAACTTTCACAGATATGTTAAACTTACCCTGTCTGTATTATAGCCATGTTTATTTACAGGTGTACCCAGGTTTAATGGTCACTTCAGGAACTATACACTGGTTCCTGAGCATGCTCAACATCCCTGTCCACATCCGAGATATATGTGTGTTTTTAGCGCCTATATTCAGGTTGGTATTAGTTATGTCATCAAAGTCTGGTGTTATTATAATGAACTAATATTTGTTTGTGATTGATGTATTGAAGATAAAACATGTTTCATAATTGTTGTAAAATAAATAAGGTTTGGACATTATATAATGTATATAATTATATAAATAACAGATGCATGTATTCATTTTGAAATTCATTGTTTATATCATCTCATTAGGCCTCAGAAGTTACCAGTGTATTCTTTCCCCCCCATTGCGGTGAAGTGGGGTTTTAAGAGTGTTTGTCTGAAAAATGATCATAGGTCACACGTACCCTGGAAGTTGTATTTGTGTATCATCTGTATTTCAGTGGCTTGACATCATTAGCGGTTTACTTTTTTACCAAAGAAATCTGGAACACAGGTGCTGGCCTGTTTGCTGCCTGTTTCATAGCTATAGGTGAGTATTTACTATGTATAAGATAAACTGTTTGTTGATGAAGGTGTTGTAGAGCATGATATGGACTAGGATAAATATTTTACTTTTTATAATCAGGTAAGAAATGAATCCATCTAATTTGAACAATGGAACTTCATATTTGAAAAAGATGAGCATGCTTTCGTAACACAGTAAAGTTTGAACACACTGTAAAATTTGCATATATAGATATATCATTTTTAATTACAAGCAGATTGATCAGAAGAAAAATATGTCTGCCAGACTTCTAATGAAAATTCTTGTTACTCATTTATTACAGTTGTAATTATATTTTGTTTTGTTTTTGGCAGTATACCATATGTCAGTTGTTTCATCATTTATTTTCAAAATAATTGTTAATGTACAATGACGGCTAAATATAATATACTGTCAGACTGCTATTTAATGAGAACAGCTGCCTTGATGACACTGTTGGCTTTTCACCATTATTATGACTGTATCTACTGTATCACAAATAAAACAAAATTCTATGCAGATATATGTACAATGTTTAAGTATGATGGTGTTTTAACACACTGAAGGTAAACACCTTACTCACTGTATAGAAGGAAAGTTACTAGGGCATTACTTATCACTACTGTGACACCATTGAGCTGTGCAGGTTTTGATTAATATTAATTTAACCTATAATATTAAAGAACCCATTCAGGGTCATTTCCGGTCTCATCAAAGATTTAGAATTAGTTGTTATATTCAAAATCTGGAATAAATGAATAAGGCATATATATATGTGAAATTTCAAATTCATTCAACAACTGGTAGAGGAGATATGGCATAACGAAGAGAGGTATAAACCCACATTTTTCATAATAAAATGTGCAAATATTGTCTATTGTGAGCTATATACATTAAAAATTGGCCATTTTGAAGTAACTAATCACTCTTCACATTTTGAAAGCCTCTGCATGTACCACGAAATAAATATATATAAAATGCTTGAACATTGTCACCAGTGTTCATTCATAAAAAAGAATTTTTGGTTGTCGCATGCAGAGATTTTCATTTCTGCATGCTAACTGTCCAAAAATGCCATACCTTTTGCTATGATGGGGCATCAACACATTCACAATTAAAAAATCTGCACCTGGAAAGATAGCTCCAATCAACCAATATTGTTACAATGTGTTTGTAAAAGAGATTGATAAATAAATGAAGTTGAATTTTTTACTTTTTATGTGGCCGAAAATGACCCATAATACCAAGTCATTTAACTCATTTACCCTAAAGACACGTTTAAACCCTTCCAATTAATTTGGTTTGGTTTGTTTGTGTTTTAAANGCCCCCCCCCCCCCCCCCTTCCAATTCAATGGTTGGAATAGTTCATTATGAAACAGGGGTGAATGAGTTAAGCAATCAAAATGTGGACCCCATAGTTACCGAAAATAAACTGCTGTACAGTATTTTATAGAGGCAAACATTTACTTTGAAACCTGTGATTTCCTTTAAGTTTGGACCTGTCCTCTGTGTTTCAGTCCCAGGATATATCAGTAGGTCTGTAGCAGGCAGTTATGACAACGAGGGTATTGCCATTTTCGCGTTAATGTTCACCTATTACTTATGGGTAAGTACTACAATACTTGTGCTTGTATGTGGAGCTGGAATTGTAATTGATGGAATTTTTGCTCTTTTTATATTGAATATGGAGTGTCTGTGTGTCTGTCTGTCTCTTTGCCACGAGATCATTTGCAGTAAATATCTTTAGACTTTGCTGAAGTTTAGTAACCAATTATAATATACAAAGGCTAAGACAAAGGTCAAAGATGAGCAAAATCTGTGGATTATTAATTATCATACTGCTGTCTGATGGTTTCCGTAGTCAAATATGACCAGATTCTGATAAAATTTGGTTAATATTGATACTGTTCTACGAAAAGTTTGTTTTTTAGCAAAATCTGTCTGTATTATGGAGAACTTGGGAATTTCATTTATTAGTCTTAATTTTTTATGATAATTGGATTATTGGGAAATTTTGAAACAGAGAAAGCCAAGGACAGTATATACTAATGGAACAGCAATTAACAACTAAGTGAAAGGTTTTGGATAAATATAATACGCAAGTCATTTGTTGGTATAAGTAAGGTAGGTATTGTGTAAATAGCATATCCATTTTTGTTGGCACCCAAATACTTCGCGACACCAAATGATGTAATGTGTCCTACACCAGACAATTATCTTTGACAAAAGTCTTGTTGTAATGTCTAGAGGGTAATCGGGTATTACCTGATAGTGTGTCTGTAAATATCTCATAGTTTGTCAATATATTCAGTCCTTGATGGTTTTAACTGTTTTCACGTCTTTTGTAGATAAAATCTGTGAAGACTGGATCTGTTATGTGGTCAACACTGACTGCCCTCTCCTACTTTTACATGGTGAGTGACTCACGTGTCGGGAATTTATCAGGTCTTCTAGGAAATGGACCTGGAGTAAAAATGGAGGGGGGGGGAGTGGGGGAATCATTGACAAAAGTAGGAAAATTGGAAATATTTAAATATTTACATATTGCTAAAACAGAAGGTGTATACATGTATATTATTAAACTCTTTTAAAATGTAGAAAGTGTCAAATTACAATTGTAAGGCCCTTAGATATTTCAATTGGGAATGGTTCTGTTTAAAAGACCTGAACAGCGTGTGCTAGTCTCTACCTGTACCAGGCTATTGGGTAGCACTCGTGTCTCGTGAAAATTAAGGTTTTCTTGTGACTTGAAAAAATATGTGAAATAAGAACATCACAGACTTGCTGCCAACTAATATTTATAGAAATTGTTTGGACTACTATTGATCAGTGAGTGGCATAAACTAAAACCCTGTAACGTTTTGGAACAGAGGTTTGAAATAAGTGCAAGAAAGTGTGTTAAATGTAGGGCACTCAACATAAAGTCTTTACTATCCTACTGCTCCTGAATAGTTGATCTAAAGTCTTTACTATCCTACTGCTCCTGAATAGTTGATCTAAAGTCTTTACTATCCTACTGGTCCTGAATAGTTGATCTAAAGTCTTTACTATCCTACTGGTCCTGAATAGTTGATCTAAAGTCTTTACTATCCTACTGGTCCTGAATAGTTGATCTAAAGTCTTTACTATCCTACTGGTCCTGAATAGTTGATCTAAAGTCTTTACTATCCTACTGGTCCTGAATAGTTGATCTAAAGTCTTTACTATCCTACTGGTCCTGAATAGTTGATCTAAAGTCTTTACTATCCTACTG